ACCTAGTTTAGGGCAAATATGGACACAAATTATCGTGTTTGGAATAAATATCGGAATGTGGAGCGTATTTTCGTTAAAGGTGCCTCGCCATATCTTCGTGTAAAACGAGCGTGCGTGACTGTGCCTGTGATGGTGATTTTGATTGCTGCAGGCTGTATCCGAGACCCGGCAAGCTTTGAAAGGCAATGCTTGTTGTACAATTTATTAATAAACTAGTAAATTTTGCCGCGTAAATTGTTGTAGCTATTGTAGATTATATTAAAGTGAATAATATTATTTTTTATGTTATTTAAGTATAAACTTAACAGATTTTCAACATTATTCGGTTTATGTGACCTGCGACTTTGTTTATGTAATGTATAGGATACCTATGTAAATACGAGTATAAACTTTTTGATATTTTGTTATGAATTAAAAATTAGTAGGTTTTAAAATTATTCCGCATCCCTCATCAATCTATGTAAATTTAATAATACTACTTACTAATATATATTATGTATTTCTAGTTATTTCCTTTCACAATCTTTGACGGACTTTAAGCGAAACTGTAAACTAATAAATAAAAGTAACCTTCTAATAAATAAAAGTTACTTTTTTATTGATGATGATAAAAAATATTTCATTAGCAATCAGAACTTGTCAACTATATGGTATATGTTAAAGTTCTGCGAATGCAAGAGTATGTAAGAATATTTTTCGTTATATTTCCGTGTCTTGTACGATAAGTTCGGTGTAAGAATGTAATATCAGATCCCATATATCTAGACCGAAAAATTACTCTCTGTGACTATGACACTTATCTATGACTATGACACTTATCTATGACTATGACACTAATGACTAAGCCGTGCCGCTACCAAATGTTTATTAAGCTATACATGCGCAAACTTTAACACTCTTTAGCACGTTAGTTGAACTGATCGGGACCAATCAGCGAAAAATAGACGAGTTCCAACACACATACCTTGCAGTTCGTAGTGATTGTATATCGGCACAATGCGTACCATTAATTTGTACAGTAAAAGTATTTGTAATTTGTTTCTTAAAGTAAAGTATTTGTTGTTTTGATTACTTATACATATGCAATTTATGTCTGTAAAATATATGAGCTTTTTAAAATGAAAAGAAAAGAAAGAAACTTTAGACGCTATTCTTCCAACTTTATTTAGAATTTTTCGGAACTACAACCTTATTTTTTGAAAAAATTGTTGATTCCATCCATCCATCGGTCTTGTAAACTTTTATTATCGCTAACCTTCTCTTTATATTAAAAAAATACGTACAGACTACAGTATTTATCGTATCAAATTTGTGAAGGACTTTATAAAAGGTTTTGTGTATTAAATTATGTTTTATAGTAAGGAATCTGTCGGACTTTATACGATATAGATAACGCCAAACATCTTAAATATGGTAAGTTTAATTGCAAACCACATTTGCTTAACCAAGCGGCACATTTGCATTTCCGTTCGCGTGTATGTAGTATTTGAGCATTGCGATAGTGGTACGTGTAAGATGAATAAAATTTTATTAAGGGTGACAAGCACACAGTCCCCTTGATGGTAAGTGGATGCTGTGGCCAATAGATATCTACATTTATCCCTGATTAAGAATCAAAACACAGATGCGTTGTCACCTATGAGGACTAAGATAGAATGCCTCGTTTCCATTAAAAAGGTAAAAAGGGTATTTTACGCTGGTATTCTGTGAGGGCGTGGTCCTGCCCTGGTCGAACCGACTCATTCGTGCTACAACCATAATATAGCTGCAGTGTGGCTCTACGACGTATCTAATACGGGTAGATACATTACGATTGTAGAAATATTCCATTATATGCGTGTGATATTGTTTAAGCCCACAGCTGAACTTCGGCCTTCCACATACACTGCCTCATATTTTAAACGCTTGGCAGGCGGGTTGGTAACCGCAGTTTTTTTATTTCTTATAAGAAATACCTTATAAGGTAGACGCCGCTGCGTATCCCCTGGTTTGTTTCCCTTTGTCACCACTTTGGGTATTCAGTAGCCTTTTAACTGTTTAACACCGAAGCCACACAGTAGTCTTTCATTTTTTATAGAATAGGGCTGACAAACGAGCACCCAGTCCAACTGATGGTACGTGGTTACTGGGGTTCATAGACATCTACATCTATCCTCGATTATGAATCAAAATGCAGATGCGTTGTCACCGATGAGGACTAAGATGGACTGGAATGCCTCGTTTTCAATAAAATGTGTCTCCGGTTCTCTACACTCACCATACGAAACAAGACAACACGTGGTCCTTCTCCGGTCAAGTCGACCCATTCGTGCTACAACTATACTACTAATATAGCCGCAGCATGGCTCTACCACGTAGCAATATTCATTTTAATAATCTTCATTTATTGTTTCTTAAGTGTATATAGCACAAACTGTTCTGTTGTCTGTACATGAGTCACTGCTTAATAGATTAAATGGAACGCATTAATCCATGTAACAGCGCGCGGCGTCGCAGCATGAGCAACTTTTATTAGTTGAATAAGTGTTCCAATTGCTGTCATTGTTCTCTCGATGTACAGAATGCATTTATGTAATACGCTTAAGTTGTTTAGATCTTTCACTTGCATGTCTTTATACGTTCGTTATGTTTGAGGTCGGCAGTTCGAGAATACATGCAGGGCTTTATGTATCTACACAATATTATAATTTATAATTTTGAAAAGTTTCATAATCTCAATGTTTTAATACGTTTTCTAAAACTAGGTAATTTTATTATTGTTTGTCTACCCTTTTATTGAACAGGACTAGTTCTTGTTACCTTATTGCGCAAATATTCGACGAAAGTAGTATTTAAAGGTTTTATGCTTTCGCAATAAACTACTTCCTGAGGCTTATATTTACTACATAATTACGTGGTGTACTTAATTCTCTTCGATAGTTAATGGTCAATTTTAATTAAATTATTATTTATAGTAAAAAGCGCATACATTTTCGCCATATGAAATCTAACCTCAAAGAGCATCGATCACTAATAAAAATATTAGATTAGTGATCGATGTCAAAGAACATATTATTTTTGTTGATTTTAAACATTTAACGTTTCTTTATTCCTCTGCGCTGATATTTAGAGATTCGTTCTTCAATCAAGTAGAATCTTGTCCTAATAAAAAAAACTTGATTACATCATTATTCTTAAAAAAAAATTGATGCTACGCTCAAGTCTTAATTTTGTAATCTGGTAATGATTATGTTTTTGGTACACACTTTAACGGATGGTAGTTATTTAAGTAAGTGTACGTGCAGCTATATTATGGTTGTAGCACGAATGGGTCTACTTAACCGGAGAAGGATACCAGCCTAAAATAGCAGCTTTGTACTGTGTTTCGTATGGTGAGTGTAGAGAACCGGAGACCCTTTTTTACTGGAAACGAGGCTTAGTCCTCAGGGGTGACAACGCATCTGCGTTTTATTCTTAATCGAGGATAAATGAAGATGTCTATGTCTATGGGCCACAGCATCGTCTTACCACCAGGTGGACTGTGTGCTCGTTTGTCTCCCTTAATCTATTAAAAAAGTGTATATTATATTACATTTTAATGTTCCATCCGATTCCGTTTTATAGTGATTAATTTCCTGAACTTAACTTGAAAGATCACTCAGTCCTATACAGTTAAATAAATTATAGTTATATTATGGAGGCTTAATTTATTTTGCTAATGCTTTGCGTTGTATAAACATATCGATTTGATTTATTCCTCCGCTATAGCTTGAGGCAATGCAGCAACGAGTTACAAAACATCCCACGGATTAGATGTAAAGCTTGAATTCTTTACGTCACTGTCGACGTACAAAGCTTAGTTTATGCTTTAAAGTCTTCTTTGATAGTCCTCTTTCGTGCAAACAAACTCATAATAAAGTATGTTTGAATGACTGGAGAAAATAAATCAGACATAAATTAAATGTATAATTAAATGTACCAATAAAAATATTTATGTAAAGTGAAGTAATGACAAAACATATTATAAATTAAGTTCTCTAATGGATTTGTAATGATCTGATAACCTAATCTAATAAATTGTGCAAGTATAGGATGTAGATATTGGTTAAGATATTGCAGTTATTACGTCGTCTGTCGCCTGTAGTTTATACAACCAATTAAATGGACGGTTAGTCCTTAAATTAATCACTGTTTTTAAATTTCTATTCGTTTTTTTTTTTTGAATTATGGGGTCTTGACTTATTGTGACTGTCCTAGTGTGTCCGACACTTCATTAATTTACACGTAGTAGAGATACAATAGCTGCATTGTATCTCTACTACGTGTAAATTAATGAAGTATCGGACACACTAGGACTAGGAAAGAGTCGGCTAGACCAGGGTAGGACCACGCTCTCACATAATACCAGCGTAAATTAGTAGATTAACGCTACTGTGTATTCGTATGGTAAGTATAGAGAACCGGAGAGCCTTTTTACTAGAAACGAGGCATTTCGTCTAAGTCCTCAGGGGTTAAAATGCATATCTGAACTTTGATTCTTAACTGAAGATAGATGAAGATGTCTATGGGCCACAGCATCCAATGACCACAAGGTGGAATGTATGCTCGTTTTTCACCATTATTCTAACATTAAATAAATCCTTTTTATATTGAAAACGCTAATATGAGGATTATTGAAAGCGTCTTTATCTAACGAACAATTGCCATCCTAAAATGTGCGTTTGTTTACTTACTATAAGCAGGTGCTTAATTTTAATCCCACCTGAAAAAATTGTATCAATTGATACAATTTTTCTTTTCAATCACACTTAATCCATATATTTTGATTACTCATCATTAATATTAACCATCAGGTGGGATTAAAATTAAGCACTACCGTACCCTCTTCTCTTTCTTCTTTAGATTTTGCACGTGTTATTCTACAGATGCTGGAGAAAAAATAAACTATGTGTGCATATATACTGTAATACAAATCAAATTACTAATTTATGCAAGAAATAAAAAAGTATTTTTGCTTTCAGATGGGGCGCTAGGAGCTCAAAGTGGTGCGGCAGTGGGTGTACCACCCTGCTGGGAACCCTTCTATTGCGTGTTGCAGCAGGACCGTCGCACCCTTACCGCCTACACCAGCGAAGAGCTTGCTGTGAGTATTTTTTTGTCTTTTCAAAAAATACTTAACTTTTGGTTACTTCACTTTTTTTCTTAGTGATTAATTCAGCGTTAATTCTACAGTTCACGGGCTCTCTTATTCATGGCTTATTTCTTTCAAGGTTGTATCTTGTTCATTCCAGTGTCTATGAAATGGATGTTATCGCATTAGCGTTTCATCGGGTATGTACAAAATAGGTTGAATGGATGCTACAGTTTGTGCGTATACTTTAGTTACAATAATGTCAATTGCGCTGTTGATAGTTTCAGACAGTAGATGGCTTCTGGAATAACAACCATGTTAATGTTGTGTTTTATAAATGACCATTTTCTTGGTGAAATAGCACTCCGTCTCGATTCCCACTAGTAACTCCCAATTCTAAGTACTTAAAAACTGACATTATGTATATACAACCTTTCTCACCGAGCATATGACTTTTTTCGGTACCTGCGAGGACGGTCATATTAAAGCCATGGACTATTCGTCGTTAAGTCAAGTGATGTGTTCGTTTTTCTTTCAACGGTGTACGGTCCCTTAGAGGTGTAAATAGCTTAAACTTTTAACAATCAATAGAGATGGCCATTTATGTTACATATTTTGATACTCGCAAACTCACTCATCAAACATATGGGACCTTCTTCACCTTGACCAAAAATCATGAAATATAGCAAAAAAAAAAAATACAAGATCTTAGAGCCCATGTAAAGGAATTAAGCCGAAAATCGTTTACTTAAAGTTATATCACATTTTCCTTAGAGCTCTGTTCGGTGCTGATCTTAATAACAATAAAAATTTATGAATTTCAATAAGTTAATTGTTTTGGTAAAAGTAGGTACTTACCTAATACTCACACTAACGTACCTACACTGTATGTATATATAATGTTTTATTTAGCCAATTTCATGTTGAGACTTTTTCTATATTCAATGAGGGCAAATTCTAGGTGAAAACTTTTCTTCCAAAGGTTTTTAAAGTAAAATTTATAGAGTTCAAAAGTTAGAATATTAATATGTAAAACGTTAATTTTAAAAAGAAAATTAAATTTTGAATTAGAATTGACAGTTACATTGTGCGAAATGCAATGTAAATTGCTTGATTAAGCACGATTTAAAATCGAAGATTCATATTGTAATGTTTCGTCTTCGTAGTAATTGTAGATTATAAAGCGTGTTCCTAAAGCGCTTTAACAGTGAACGCTACTTAAATTGTCTATTTCGATGCCGAGTCCGTGATACAATTGTGTGGTTGCATTCTCGAGGCTCTTTTGCGTACATTCTTTAGCGTTTACACCAGCTTCGATAAGAAAATTGATGCAATTTATTGTAGAATTGTTCCGGCGAAGAGGATTTTCTCTCTTAATTTTGCTCAAAAACAATCGTTCTAAAGAGAATTACCGTGCTTACCCTCTCAGGAATGAGAGGAAACCTGTGCCTATTTTAAAGCTGTTAAATTTACTTTTCTTTTACACCTCGCATCTCGTTTGATTTAGTAAAGTCTTTTACGCGTATTTGAATTTAAATAAAGTTAAGAAAACAATTACGTTTATTTACATTCATTTTCTCTCATTTAAGTTTATGTATATGTATTTTAAACTTAAAAAAAATAGCTTTTACTGTATATGCGCACACAAAAACACGGCCACGCGCACTTCCTAGGGGTGGGGTTTAAATTTAAAAATATGTACATTATTTTGTTTATTAATTTTTAAATTCTTAGTCGCCCCTAAGTTCAGCAACTCACGCTACAAATAAACTAGGTACTAATCTATAATAATAATGCATCAACCAAGGCCAATATCTCAGCCTCATCAACAATAACCTAGAAATTCACAGTCTTTCCTCTTTTCTAATTTTGGCGGATTACAGTATTAGATGCTTCGCGAATTGGTGCTGCTTTCCGCACCTTGAATATTAATTACATGGACGTGTGCTCAGTATACAACATTTTTAAAGTTTTTTTTTACTTTTATAAGCCCGTGCTTGACCATAACCCCCCCCCCCTCCCCTAGTGGTAAGTGGTGATCTAGCCCTAGATGGTAAATCGCATTGTCTTAGCGTAACAAAAGCCTATTCACTCTTTCTCTGGAGACGCCCAGATTGTATTCGAACGGAAAAATAGACGCCGACAAATTATTCCACTCCTTTACTATGAGCATTATAAAAGAAGAAGCAAACCGTTCGGTTTTAATGCGTGGAATATCGATAACAAAGAGATGATTACACGTGGTAGAGCCATGCTGCAGTTATATTAGTAGTATAGTTGTAGCACGAATGGGTCGGCTCGACCGGGGAGGGACCACGCTCTCACAGAATACCAGCGTCAAATAGTAGCTTAATGCTGCTGTGTTTCATATGGTGATTGTAGAGAACCGGAGACCCTTTTTACTGGAAACAAGGCATTCCATCTTAGTCCTCATGGGTGACAACACATCTGCATTTTGATTTGTAATCGAGGTTAGATGTAGATATCTATGGACCGCAGCAACCACTTACCATCAGATGGACTGTGTGCTTGTTTGTCACCCTATCCTATAAAAAAAAGAAGACCCGCCGACCGCCTGGCTGTCTGATGGTGGAAAGGAAGGAATTAAAGCGTGTAATTCTAACGCACACTCATCGAAATGCATCAGTTCTTTTTTTTCTGTCTACTTAGTTTATGACACGAACATGGTTAAATAAGGTTAACGACTTGTGTATCTTGCCACCACATGATTAAAAAAATTAAGCATAATTAACAATATTGTTCTCCTTTGTCAAAGCTTAATAATAAAGTTGGACGGAAATTGAATTCAGCAACAGCGTATTAAAATTATTTTAATAAATATTACAGTACCGCGTCAAATTAATTTACGCGTCATAAATGCAGTTTTATACACAAACAAACCATGTCATATGGAGCTTTAATCGCTGGTAGATAGGCACTTATGAAAGTAAGTAAAAATGAACAAGGTCCCTCGCTGTGGCGAATCAAATCGATTGCATCGAAGTTGTTTTTACCTTGTACTGTATGTTAATAGCACGTTTATATGACACGTTCGAGGGCACGTAAACATTTTCCAGTCGGTATATCATTAAGATCATTAAAAACGCTTTCATTATTGAAAAAACCGGACGTAGGCTTGTTACAAAATAGGGTTTCAATAGAGCGTGAATTTTGCGTATATTTTAGTGCTGCCATACTCATTCATTTTTATTTACTATTCTTTTGAAATTTTTGGACATCATGTTTTTGCTCAGATGGGTTTCAAATGAAACTCAGTCGTTATTGAAAATAATTGTGTTTATTATTTAGCCTTTTCATTTCTAATAATGAAATAAATTTATAAAATCATCTATAAAAGGTACTTATAAAATGAAATAATCAACAAAATCACAAAAAAAAAACCCTTACTATTAAGTAAACTTTATATCACTTTAACTTGTTATTATCTAATCTTTATTTTATTGTATTGATGTCAGGAACTTTTTACTTACGAAACTAATATAAAATAGTGTGAAGACAGACAGACAGATAATATAATGATATAGAATGAATTAGGGCTATATAAGGGCTATGCTCGAGATTTCTGTGCGTGATAGACTTAGAAATGAGAATATTCGCAGTAGAATAAGAGTAACCGACATAGTTCAACGGATTAGTAACCTGTTGTGGCAATGGATCAGCCGTATAGCTCGAAGAACCGACGACCGATGGGGAAGAAAGGTTCTCGAGTGGCAGCCTCGTAACGGTAAGCAAAGTAGGGCTCCCCACTGGAGTAACGACCTAGTAAGACATATGGAAAGTTGATAGATGCAGTTGGCTCAGGATCCTTCTTCGTGTCATTCCTTGAGAGAGACCTGTTTGTTGCTGTTGATTTTTAGAAGTGGAATTCTGATGATGATGATGATCACTTGGATATTACAGATGGATTTCATAACTCAAGATTCTAACTCATTTTTTATATCGGAATCTGGGAAATTGGTTCCACTAAAAGTTATTTATTTTTAATATCGTATTCCGATTTTCGTTTTGGATGGTTAGTTACGCTTTCCTACGCTGGTTAAGTTGATCTTCGCCTTTTCGAATGACTGAATTGAATAATGAAAGTAATTTTGTTGCTTGATAACTGATCTACATATAATGAGATTCCTTATTGGGTTTTAAAATTTAATGTGAAAAGCAAATATACTAAAACTTTTATTTTAAATAATGATGAATAATCATAATAACAAAAATTGATATTTCGGCAACCCGTCCTAGTATCCTAGAAAAAATGATGTCAGAAAATTTTGATCAGATTCTACTATATTAGATTAATTTACGATAACGCTAACTCTCTACGATATGCTTAAAATTACTTATATGTATACATATTATGATGTGATAACCGGTGTTGGTATCAAATCTATGTAAACATATTACTTTTTTTCTTGCTACGTAATGAAAATTTATCGCTGTTTGTTTATCCTGATAAATTATTAATAAAATAATAATAATAAACAATTTATTTTTAGATGGAGTGCTTTGTTTTCGTATAAATAACAGACTGTTGAAACCATATTTAAAGAGTCGTTCATAAGTCTTGAAGTTGATAAATAATGTATTGATAAGAATTATTCTCAAAATCAAAAAATAAGGGTGACAAACGTGCACTCAGCCCACCTGATGTTAAGTGGGTGCTGCGGCCCATAGACATTCAAATTTATCCTCGATTAGGAATCAAAATGCAGATGCGTTGCCACTAATGTTGTTCAAAACGACTATAAATCAATAGCACGCTACAGACTATAAACTAGAAATTTCTAGCGCGCTATTAAATACGCTATGTTATAGCGCGCTATTTATAAGAAAGTGTGTAGGAGGCCGGCAAGCGCGTTAAGTTTAGCAGCACGCTATATCTCGGAGCACGCTATATTACATGTCGTTCATTGGATAGACCGCGAGCTATATAAGAACATTGTTTCGTAATAAGTCGCATTTTAGATTAAAATAAAATAAAGTGGTAAAGAAAAATT